CAAGACGACGAGGAGTCCGCACTGGGTGAGAAAGCCTTTTGGAAGTAAAAGCTAGACATTATTAAAGCCACTTTTGTCATTATTGGACATTACAAATATTAGTGCCCCATCACCTTATACATGCTAGGTTGAGTACAGCTCTTATTAAAGATCTAATGGCGATTTCGAAACCTACGCAATTCTAATATATAAATGAGTTTCTTCTTGATTAAGCAAGAAGCAATCATGCTGATATGCAAGCAGGTATGAAATTATAAGACATATTTAACCAGTGTAACTCAAATCAAGGCGTACTCGGATTTAATTATGAATATTCTAATGTATGAAAAATAAGTATTCACATGAAGTTGTGGTAACAATCAAAGGGTATGACTATTTGAGCTGAGAGGAATCTTTGGACAATATTTTTGGTTGAATTTCTCTTATACTAAGAGAAAATAGTTTAAACATAATAGGTTTACATAAAAATTTGTGTTTTAATAACTATACAATCACAAATACTTAAAGTTTATAATCGCCGTTTTTTGGAAAGAATTGATCATATAAATTAGAATGACTACTGAAATCCCTGCTAAACCTACAGTTTTATGGGACAGAGTTTCAGGGTGTGAAAGAGGTTGGCATACTTGTAAACTTGGCCAAATTACTTGACATGAGGAGAGGGTAACAAGCTTTACGAAATAACAGGGAAAGCCTAATAAATTAGTTTTAACGAAGAAACGAGCACCCGCAGGACCAAAAGGTAAGATGAGACAAAGTACATAAATCGTCTCAAAAAGTGCCTCTAGAACAAAGTTCGCTCGGCAAGAGTATATAGCTTATCGAGACGCTGTTCAATTACCTCAATGCCTAGCAGACGAACAACGTGAAGCAGACGAGTCGGGCTAGGAGAATCAAGAGGTTTTGATAGAGGTAAAATAGGAGGTGGTGAGAATGTACTGTGTGTGGTTGAGAATTGCGTCGGGTGTTTGGTGTCCTTTGGTGGGTGCTCCAGTGACTCAAGTAACTCTAATTGCCTTTGTGATTGGTGTATTGATGCCAAATTTTGGTCAGGCTTCATAGCTTGAGAACTGTTTGAATGTGCGACCTCAGCCGTAGGCTCAATAATTTGCTCCGAGGCAATCTGGCCGTTATCCTTTTCGTGATTGATGACAATGCTTGCCTCAAGTGCGCTTTCTTCCACGTGGGAGGGATCTTCTAATGATAAAGCTGTGGTGATGAGAACTGGAGTTGCTGCCTCGCTTCTTATGATGGTGGGACTGTTTATCTGACGAACGTCTGAAATTTTATATGGTATTGGGAAAATCGTACTTAAAGAATAGAGGTTTATTAGACATCAGGAAATGATTGCATATATTCTAAAAAAATTGGTCATTGGATTATTTCTTACTTCTACATTAATGTATGGAGTTCTGGAACTATTAATGTAAATTTTAATTTTCCCACAAACTATTCTTTTTTACAATATAAATGACAAGCAAATGTATCATTACTCAATCCTGGATAAATACAATCTTATATAGCAACGGTCTTAGAGGTGCTGCTCGAGACAGAAGTCTGATTATTGATGAATAACCGAAAGTAAAGAGCAGTAATAAATCATTTCTTTTTGCCAGATATGTTATGATTTTCTATGAAGCCAAAAGCTAATGGACGATAAGTTCTAAGAGCTAAGAAGATGCCGTATAGGATACACAATTTAAAGCTAATAGGTTGTTTCTGCGAAATCGCGTATATTAAATATTCACACGAATTATATAGTCATAAGTGAATTGTGACTCTTAATCATGGTAGCGAATATGCCTCGTGTACACGGAAGGCATTTGGCATATCACATTTGTTTTGAATATGAAATGCATCAATTCTCCTTATTACACAAGTTAAATTTAATGTGATAAGTTCCAAAGTCGTATACCCTTGCCAGGATTCGCATTAAGTCAGCGTGTCAACTCCGCGACTCACCATCATTTAGCTTCACATGACAGTATTTATTTCTGGTGCATTTGG